TCACAAGATCAAACTCACACACAGGCATGCCGATAGCAAAGCCTGGAACAGAAACACACAGGACTCGCTATGAGTACTGATTGGCCCGTTTGCTCAAGCCTTTCGCTCAGCCAGTCTCAGCACAGCATGGACCCAGATTAAAATGGCAATGATCCTATATATTAGACCGCGGTTAACTTGATGAGTTAGGTACCATTTGAAATGCTGAAGGTGGCAGAAAGGGATGGTTTCTTCCATTTGAATTTAAAATAGACCTCAGACCAAGATTTTAAGACGGACGCCTACCGATCTCTCGGTTGAGGATTTTCTCCTCCCTGTTGCCCACTGGCTCGATGACTTTCAGGAAGGGCTGAAAGAGCCTGAGGTCGCACAGCCTGCGGGTCTCGTCGTAGAACTCCTCCCGCTCCGCCTCCTGTGTGACGCTGACGAAGATGTAGGAGGTCTCGTCCTGCAGGAGGTGGTGAAGGGGGTACTTCCGCGCCTCCTTGAACAGCTCGTGCTTGATGGTGACCAGCGTGGCCTCCCGGAGGCACTCCAGGGTCAGGATCATCCCGTTCGGCAGCAGGCAGTCCACCAGGATGCGCGGGGGCATCAGGTGGATGCCCCACAGCTCCCCTGAGGACGGCCTGGGAGGCATCTTGAGCTCCTCTTCGCCTCCTACAGAACGCCGAGAACGTTTTGCGAGTTCTTTTCTCCTACGGAGAGGAAAACAAGAACGTCAGCATGAAACAGTCTGGACTGGGTCGACCCGGCCGGGGGACAAGCTGCCTACCTGGGCTTCTGTGCAGCTAAAGCCATACACCAGCCACAGCGCCGCCCGCTCACGGGGGCACAGGGACACAGCAATGCACAAACGTGCCGACGAGTCCAATGTCCCGGGCAACACTGCCGTCTTTTCTGTACTCGGACGCCTGCATCGTTCTCGTCTTTGCATCCTAGAGCACATGACCACCTCGTCTTTAAAAATACATGACAGGGCCGATGAGGAAGTGAGCTCGCAAGCGTGACGCAAGCACTCTTTGCTCTCCTTTTGGCATCGGAGCTGCACCACTGGGGAGGGGGGGCGCATGCTGCCTCGTGCATTATTCTGGTGTACCGATGGGGGTTTCTCTTTCTCAAACTTTCCCCGACAGCTCAGACCCAATCTCAGACCCCATTACTACTTGCCATCAACCCCAAAATGCTGTTTCCTGCTGCATTTTAGGTGCCATGAAGCATCGAACATCAGCCACTATTTATGCCTCTGACAAACTGCACAAAAGGAGTCTATTTTGGCATTACAATAAATTTAAGACCTACAGAGAAGCTATTCTTTCAGAACCATATGTTATCACTTGGAACTGAACAGACAAGGTATCAATGTGTGAATGAATTTCTTTCATCGGGTACATTTTAACACTTAAAGAGGATGTAAACACACACACACACACACACACTACGTCATCCGTGCTGCTTCAGCAATAATGAGGACCGCAGATTGTTACCACAACAAGAGGACAGCCTGCACAGCGCCAGCAGTGGCTTGAGACAAGTCTTCGGTCTTCAGGAAAAGAACATATTAGTAATCTCCCCTCAGTGCATTCTCTCTGCATTTACTCCTTCCAAAATGTCTCACCTGTAGAGCACAAGCCCCTAAGGTTTAGAGATTGTGTATCTGGAGGAACAGCTAGAGCTCCACTTAAAGCGATCACAAGCACCTTTATTTACTGGCTTTCAATACGGCATAGAACACTGTCGAAATTTAAATCCGTGCGTATACACACCGGATTTCAGCATTTACAAAATAATCACACGTTAAAAAAGTCTGTTTAACACATCTAGGTTATCTTAGAAGTGAGAGAAGTTATCTAGTCCAGCTGATAACCACAGGGGTCAAAGGCTCACACGTGTGGTTGGTCTGTTTTGTAGCAATGAAGAGATCCAGAAGCTCTTGGCCAGCAGATGCCCCTTTTAGGTAGAATCACACTAAAAGTATTACATGTGACGAAGGCCCAACAGCTGAAATGTTCCCTCTTTCAACTTCTCAGAGGGGAATTTACCTTTCCTTTGCAGCTAGTGCGTGCTGACGCCCCGAGTTAACTCAGCGCATGCTGCACTTGTTAACAAATGTTGTTAGTAACAGACTTATCATGCTACAAAAAATGAGCCCAAAACTTGCAAGACAAAGTCTCATACATTGGATTCACTAATAAGACTTAGAAAAGATGGCTATTATTAAATTAAAATAAGTATCAAATTCTGTCTTTATAATTTTCACCTGGCGGCTCATGTTTACCGCAGACAAGTGCAAGGTTCTGTTTACAGGTGGCAACAACAAGCCTCATTTAAAATACAGTGCACAATTTTGGTTGCATTACCAAAAAAGATGACAAATATAGTGGTAGCTCTGGTATCAGTCCAGAAAAGAGCCACCAGGTGCATTCTGGTGCTTAAGGGAAGGCCCTGCACAGACAGGGTGAAACCGCTGAGTCTTGAACAGAGAAGACGACGAGGCGACCCAACACAAGTATTCCCAACCCTCGAGGGCACTGGCAAAGACAGCGCAGCGACTCTGGTCTGTAACCTCTCATGCTCTATGCGATAACCTACAGCCGAGTACAACAAGGTGTGGAAAGATACTCTGCCTTCCTTTTGGAAAGGAGGTCAGAGAACTGGGGATCAGTGGCATTCCTTTAAGAGACAGATGTCTCCCTCTCTAAATAGTGGCTTACAGATGAGCCACTATATTACACACCAGCAGGACCGGGACAGCAATGAGGAAAACAACTGCTGCAAGTCTCGCTCGTTCAGATGAGCTCACGTGTCGCTGTTAACTGCCTGGAAGAAAAGACCTGCTCAGCCTGTGAGTCACCCACAGAGAAAACTACACTCCTCTTTTCTGGGGGATGACTTTGTTCCCTCCACACTGCTGCCAAAATCTTTCCTTAACAGAAGGTCTGCAGCAGATGGCTAAATCCGGAACACTTCCTCCCCCCGTCAGCTTCTGGGACTGTTCCTCATTCGTAAACGGACTCCGGGGTTGAGGGCGCCTGGCGGCAGAGCCCATCAAAACCAAAGCACCCAAGAGCAGAGAAAGCCTGAAGCTACACAACGTCGGACTTGAGACACTCCGGCTCCTTTCCATCCACAGTCCTGCACAGGTTTGTAAATTCCAGCCACATACCTGGACGCAGGATACAACAGTTAAAACCTCAAAGGACAAACTGAAAGAAGTTGAATCAACACAAAACTATCTGCACGGGTCACACACACACACAAAATAATCAATAACGTACCAACTACTTCAGGAGGAAACACAATAGACAGAAAATAGACACAAAGCCCCTATTCTTATTTTTATCCAGTGTGATCTGAAAACGAAACTATTACTAGAAGAGATGTATCGGATGCAAAGATTTTACAACATGCTCAGCTGCTGCTGAACACCCAAAGGCGTCTTCTTGCAATGCAGTTTCACTTCAACAGGGATCGTTGACATGCATGACTCATCTCCCCACCTAGCGAACAAATGTTTCACTACACAAACACGAAACAGTGAGTAGTCTGCTCCGATGGAAAGTTTTTGTCAGTCCAAGATCAAAGATTGCCACACCCTTTCCGAAACAAAAACTAGACGTTGAGATCAAGAGAGCAGAGTAAATGTTCAAATAAGCTATCCTACAATGACATCTTGATGATCAAAAATGTGATGACATAGGAGTATCCATCTATTGGACACCTTAACACACCTTAAACACAAGAGTACTTTCTTAAAGATGACTTGTTTAAAGAATATGAACATTTCAACTGTGACAAGTCCCACTTAATCTATTTTAAATAACGCATTCATATTCTATTCTGCTAACCCAAATTGCTGCGACAGAAAATTGCAGTCCCACATAGACAACTAAAGATATTTTACTGAAAACGTTAGGTTAGCAGCAATAGCTCTTTCACTCTGGATGGCTATTGTAAGAAAAATGCATTTCAGTTTCACACTTCCTAAGGATGTAACAGTTTGAAATAACCATTCATTCATTTTCTAGAATCAAATGAATGACTTAAATACATCAAACAAAACATTCGGGGAAAAAATAACAGGCTATTACACCACTTAGCTGATGAACACAAAGTCTTGGCAAAAATGCACTCTGATTTTAAATTTATATCAATGTTATAGCATATTTAATTTTACAGCTTTATGCAATTCATGCAAGTGTTTCCATCAAAAGTTATTCAGTTGGTTGGAGATCAGCACGACAGGCTTGTTGGCTAACCCATGCTCTGTCCCCTTCTACAAAATGGGAAAATGAACAATCACAAAACATGAGCATTCCAGCTGCACAATGATGGTTAAACCTTTCAGTCTGTAGAGGAGCCAATTATCCTGATACGTAGTATTACACACAGTGTTTATCAAAACAAGAAAGAAGCTTTTTCTGAAAGGGCTCATGCGTAGCCTTTGGCGCAGAAGCCAGGTTATGTGATATACAACAGCTATGCAGATAAAAAAAAAAAAGTTAGCAGCCCTAGACTATGACTAGTTCTGTGCACATCTACCGCAGGTGGGCTTGCAGATGTCCCATGGGGAGAACTGAGCAGGCCTGCATGTGCAGCCTGGGACAAAGCTGCAATCCAATTGTTAAGACTCATTTAACTGGTAAATGGACAGAAGACAATACAGTCACACAGGAGCAGAGGACCGAACTGTAAACATCGCCATAGCAACTCTCATCACACTGACTGAAGCCATTCTGGACACACAACTCGTGAGATTAGTATGCAGCCGAAGAAGACAGAGGTGGACTTTGAGAACATTGCACAGCATTGAAGGATATGGAGAACAAATGGCCATTAAGAAAGTGTTACTTTAAGCACACAACACGATAATTTAGAATAAATTAGCCGTAAGCGCAGAGTCTGTAAAACGTCCCGAAAAAAAATAAAAACTTTTTTCGCATGAGCAGAATCGCAAACATCCGATATGCCCAACTGACTTCTTCAGCTGCGGGGAAAACGTTGAAGAAAACAGCCGGGGTGACGGTTACGTCTTTCGGGAAAAAATACTCGTGAACGTTCAGAAACTCAAAAGAATGCCTAAAATTCATCAGTGGCACGGTGCCATGCGATAAGAACGGGCTGTAACAGCAAAGCAGGTCGCTAGGCACACAACTTTATTTTAAAGAGGGGAAACAGACCGACCCACCCTCCCCAGCTGGGAGGGAGACAGCCACAGAGGTGCACAGCCTCCCACCTGTCTCCGGGCACAGACGCCCCGCCTCCGCTTGGCTCCGACTGCCTGGCCGGGAGCAGGCTTCCCTTCCTGCTCTGTAAGTGGGAAAGATCCTGCACCGGGGCCGCCCCGGGCCCCTCCGCGGCACTAACAGGTCAAAGAGTCAAACAGGAAGGCTACGCAAGGGCGCCAAAACCAAGGACAAGGGCTGCAACGTCGCCAGTTCACCGCCAAGCCTGCTAAACTGCAACCTGCAAACTTGGCGGGGTGGCCAACTACACCAGAAGCTCTGTAAAACCACGGCGAACTCAGCGATGGCACAGGGTCATCTCCAGGAAGCCCACAGCACAGTCAAGGCCAGCTCAGGAGGTGTGAAAGGCAGGCAGATACTGTAGCGCTACACACTACTACACCTCTGGGGTTCGCCCCCAGCTGAAGGCTATCAATCGGGGCTCTTCAGGAAGTCAACTCTGCTTCTACAAGGAGAGATGCCGGTGTATGGGGATGCAGCTCCCGTTTTCTCATGCATCCCTCGACCAACGCTCACCAGATACCGGTGAAAAGCAGAAGCAGGTTTGGAGGCATATACAACAACAAAAAACCATCAATACAAATAGCCCATATGTTGCACGCACACAAAACACTGCACGTTTGCGGCGACCCGTCCCTCCTTGTCAGCGATCTCACCTTTAGATCGCTGGTCTGAAATAACGCAACCTTCCAGATTTCAGTCCACCAGCATTGTCGCTCGCTGCCCTGGCAACTCGTCACTGCACGGCCATATTCTGTCGGGAAACATTAAAAGGACAATTTTACTCTTTTAACACACGCATCTCGTCCGCTGGGAAACAAGCCCCGGGACAATCTGTCTTCGCACCCACTCGTGCGTTCAGAAGAAAACAACCACAGCTGATCGCGGTTGAGGCTGAAGGCCTCATGTGTCCGTTTGCGATTCCACCCATATCCTCTTTTTAAAAAAAAAACAACAAAACAAAACAGGGACCCCTACGTTTCATTCTGTTTCCTTTTCTTTTCAGTGGAAACGAGTACTAGGGGCCAGATCTCGCAACCGGTCACTGGAAACAACGTTTCACAAACCCACCGCCCCCCCCCACCCCACAAAGACAAGCAATACAACTTTCCAGTTTGGGGGGATAGAAAGTTTTTTCTTAGGGAGGGAAATTCAGCGAAACCGGCCCCAACGTGAGGAACTGCCCGCATTCAGTACAGAAAGGGGCACAGGGAAGGGGGACCCCAAAGCAGACCCGGGCTTCCGTTCTCTGGGAGCCCAAGACCAGGGGGGGTACCCCCGAATTTCAAAGCGGAGAAGACAAAGACTTTTAGGACCTTAGCAGCTCCCGAGACCACATTTCTGCAGCCGACCTAACAACGTCCACGTCTCACTCCCCCACTGTCAGAGGCACCGACCCCTGCTCGGCGACAGACCCACCACAACCCCCCCAAACCCCTCCCTGATCCCGGGGGGGTCACTCCATTCACCTCACCTCAGCCACGGCCGCTGAATCGCGACGGCATTTTTTTTTTAAAGAAAAAACAACAGCCCCGAGAAACTCCATTAAAAACACAGCCGGGCTGCTATTGTAGGCGGCTTGGAAAACGGTGTGTGTGTGTGCGTGCGTGTGTTTTTTTTTAAAACAAACTTCACATTTCCAAGTCTATTGGTTTCGGTGTCCCCCCACACGAACCCCTCTTACTGAAACACCCCGTCAGTATCGCCTTGACTCGCAGCCCATCTCGGCGATGTCCGCGGAGCAGCTGCCCGAACCCCTCGCTCGCTGGTCCGGAGCTCCAGGCTTCCTCAACGTCTCTCGGTTTCGCAAGCTGTACTTGCAGCAATTATTAGTAAACCTCCGTCCCTAGTGCCGCGAATGGCTAAAAACTCCCGTTTCATCGTGACATCCCCGTTCTCACTCTATGCGCTTGCATTGCAAGTCCTGTGTCTGCTATTATTACACAGTGCCGATTTCCCGTCGATGGCCGGTGTGTTAATTCCCACAAATCCGCCGTTCCGCTTGTGAAGACACGGTAAACACGCCAGGGTCAGTCAATCTTTGGGATTCATGCTTCCATATTTTTTTTTTGTACTCATCCGATTGACAACCCCCCCGCGGCCACTCACCCCCGTCTCCCTCTTTAGTTTCCCCTCGGCTGCTCCCACCGACCTCTCCCCGTTCCCGGCAAACTCCAGCCCGAGGCTCAGGCCTGCCCACGGCCTGTCAGCCGCAGCTTCTCCATAGCAACCGCGCGGCTCCCGCTCCCTGTTTTTCTTGCGTGGAACCGAAGCAGTTGAAGGCAAGGAAAATAAACACACACACACACAAAAAAACTAACACAATCCCCCTTTCATCTCCCCATGGGAGCCACGGACGACCACAAACAACAGAAACGCAAACGTGTTTTTGGCCGTCGGCGGACGACACGCTCTCTAAACATCCACCGAAAACAATTACGGGAGGGGGGGGGGGAACTCGCAAATGAAAAATATTCTCCACACCGGGGAAGGTCGCCCTCTCTCTCTCCTTTTTCGTAATTTCCACCCCTAAAAAACTCCCGCTGTCGCGCGAGCTTTTGGGAGGGCTTGCGAGAATTTCCAAAATCCCTTTTCCACAGGCGAGCAATCCTCCTCCTGCTGCAAATACTACCGTCAGACAAACTTAGCCCTACTTCCTCTAACTCGGAGCCCAGACCGTGTTGGGTTAGGGCAAACAATTGCATTATCGGCGTATTGCAACTTGTGAAGGTGTGCCCGGGACAACTTAATAATAATAATAATAACAACAACAACAGCAATGATAATAATGTGTCTCTAGATACACGCACCATGTGTTTGTTATCTGTGCTGCTCCCACGCCTAAAAATTGCCGGGAACTGTGAGCTCAACAGCGCGAAATAGTTGGTTAGGTGTCACCCAACTTGAGCTAAAAAAAAAACCAAACAGGCTAGGCAGTTTTTTTTTTGGAACCGATGTTTTGTTTCCAAAAAATATATATAGAAATAGGAATAGAAAAATGTCAAGGGGTGACACGAAAGGTTAAAGAACTGAATTTGGACACGGATTTGCTGATTCATGAATATGGTCGTTATTGTCTGAATGTTTTTGATACAAACGTTTTATATATCTCAGCAGCAAGGCGGTGGCAGTGGTCAGTGCTGCTCCCTCACAGTGCTGGGGCCCAGGGTTCAGTTCTGGACCTGGGGTGCTGTCTGTGTGGAGTTTGCATGTTCTCCCCATGTTCATGCAGGTTTCCTCCCACAGTCCAAAGACACTTTGCACAGTGACAGTGTTGTAGCCTGGGGGTTTTTAGCAGAGGCAAGATCATTGCTAGTTGAAAAACATACCGGTGGGTTAATTGGCATCTGTGAAATTGCCCCTGGTGTGAGTGTGTGTGTGCCCACTGTGTGCCCTGTCCAGGGTGTATCCTGCCATGCGAGCCTTGCTTGCTGGGATAGGCTTCGGCCTCCCTGCAACCCTGTATTGGATAAAGCGCTTGAAAACCGATGGGTGTTTTATGTAATTGTGACAGATGAGTACTGAACAGCTGTTTGATCCACAATAAAGATGCAGTGCTGTTGACAGTGAGGCCCTGAATATCATTGTGTCGTAATGAAGCACATTGTCACATGTCAGAGCACAGGCTGTACAGCCCTTGCCAGGCAGTGCGATCTAAACCCCTCAAATATTTACTTGAGAGAAGCATCAGCAACTTTAAACACACTCTCTCATATATAGAAAATATAGATTGCTCTCATTCATTTCTTTGGAAGTATTTTGGGAGTGCTGAACAATATGAGCCAGGCTTTTACTAAATAAAAGAAAATTATTAACATGATATCAGCTGAAGGGTCCTCTCACGTAGATGTTGAAAATGTTATCAGAATCAGCATTCAAGCCAAAGTGAAATCATTAGGATTTTTTTAAACTCTACATTTATTTCTCTTTTTGAAATATACGCATGGAGCCTGTGTGAATCTAGGACTCTGTAGGCATCTTCCTTTCTTGTGCAGGCTTTATTAAAGGGAGCTGCTTGCAGTCACCTGTCTTGAAGATTGCTCTCACAGACAGACAGAAGCGCTCCAGCTGCCCAGGAGCCTGGAGGTGTTTGCTGTCACGAGGGGTGAAGGGAGGTGGTGTTGACCCTGTACCCAGGATAAGAGCTAACACCAGGGCCCGTCTCACTGTCAGGTGTTTTACCAGGAGGATTACCTGCCACAGGCGATGAATGTCTGCGGTCGGACCTGAGGAAGTTGGGAAAGGTGTTATAATTGGGTAGCCGAGGTCCCATCTTGCAGCTTGAACTCATCAGGCCTCGGGATGCTGGATGCTAGGGTGGATCTGACGGCCTCCTCTTGTCTGTAAACTTGCTTTCTGAGAAGCCAAGAACGCCTGGGCCTCAGGCCTGCCCGTGGACAATCAGGGCTCTGCTGTACCAGTAGGGTGGGCCCTCTCTGGTGGACCAGTAGGGGGCGCTCTTCCTTCCGGACCAGAATGTACAAGCTAAAGCTCCAGTATGGTGACCAGGGACACAGGACACTGTCCTGTGGAAGGCGCCATCATTCATCTGGGATGTTAAACAGAGGTCTGCACTACATGGAGATCCCAGGGCACTGGTTACAAGAGAGGGGGAGTTAACCCCAGTGTCCTGGCTTAATTCAACCGATGAAGCAGTTTCCTGCTCGTCCACTTGATCTGCTGTGCAGAGGAGCTCTGGTGCAGTTACCCAGTCACATAGTCCTGGACTGTTTCAACCACAAGCTCGTGATAGCTTGTTTCATCTCTACCAGGGGCCCCAGTTCGGCGTTGCTCTATTTTTCAGTGTTTTGAGCCCCCCAGTAACTTATACTGTTGGACTAGAGGGCAGCCAGCAGCAGCAGCTGGCACTGTAATTGCTTTTGTGATTGAACATTAGTCTTTATTAAACAGTCTGTTGTCTTCATATGCCGATGAATTTCCTCTCCAATGTGCTGCAGGTACCTCTACAGATGAAAGTACATCAGGCTCTGTGTAACACTATTCAATATACTGTATATCATTATTTTCCTAAACACTTTTTCTAATAATAGGGATTATAACTAGTGTGTCACGGTGCCACAATAACACAAAATTACCTGTGCAGTTCTATTTACATCTATCTGTGAAGCATTTAAACATACTAAACTGCTTAAATGGAGCTGCATAAATATATATACTGTATATATTCTCCCTCTCCCCTGTCTGTTGCCTATTGTCATATCCGCTTAGAATGTGTTTCCACTATCTTTCTGAGCACACAGAGGATGTCGATAGTTCACAGATGGAAGTGTAACTCCATGCAGAAGGACGCAGACCCGTCCATTCTGCGCGTACGGTACCCAGCCAGAACCCCGGCCGGGCAGGCAGACCCCCCCCCTCCCAGTACAGTACCGGCCAGCTGTAATGGGAAACGGACCGTACTACTCTCGGGAATGGGCGGGGGAGGCAGAGTTTTAATTGCTGCCCTTCCCGAGACATTCAAGACCGAAGTTTGACGCTTTGGTCATCTTTAAAGGGAAGCTTTAGTTAAAACTGTATTCTCGTGTAGCCAGCAAGGTTCGCGTTTACGAAATTTGTTTTTATAAGGGGGGGAGACAGGGACAGCCCAGTATACCCCCCCCCCTCCGCTCGTACTGTACAGTGCGGAAGCCCTATGTCTGGTTGAAAGAAGTTAAAGGATGCGGTGAAGATGGCGATGAACGTGAAGAACAGAGGTGCTTATTACCAAAATAACGACTACTGCAGAGATTATAATCCGCAGCCTTTAAACTATGGGAACCCTCTTTTCCAGCGGTTACCAGGTAGGCGAGGCACGGCGGGCGAGGTGCCCCGGGGGCGGATGCCCACATCCTGCGAGCGGCGACTGATGCGCTCCGCAGCAGGGCTGGTGGCACAGGGAGGAGAAAAGCTTGCTTCTGTGCCCGGCTCCCGTCTGCTGAGGTGCGAGCCGGGACGGCGGCGGGCCGGGCTGCCGGGTGTTTCTTGTTTAGAGATGGCGGAGCTGATTTGCCCTTCGGAGCCGTAGGAGAGAGGTGCGAGTCTAGGCGCTGGCGGTGTTTTTTTGGGGGGGGGGTTTATTTCTGCGGCTGCCAGGACTTGACGATTTTCCCCGTGCAACCCCCGGCCTGTGTGCTCAGGTGTCCGGGACAGCGGGGGCAGGACGGGCACGGAGTCCGGGCACGGGCGCAGGTGTCACCGCTGCAGCTCAGACCAGGAGAGGCCACCAAAAGACAAAACGTGGGGTCAAACGCAGCCGATATGACAAGCCTTTGACATGCACGGCTTTCATTTCATGCCCGGCTGCGTGTCTCGTTTCTTGCAGTGCTCTGATGTGCGGGGGCAATTCACGTCTTGCTGGCTTTCCGTGTGCTGTGCGATTCTGTGCGTGCCAGCCTCGTTTAAAGGCTCTAAAAACACAGTATATAAATACACAGCACAGCTCGGATATTACGGTTGAGGATCGTTTTTAAAGCCAATAGGATCAGGCATGAGCTAGACGAGGACGATTTTAAGTCGCTGTTAAGCTTAACACATTGATGGATGCGAAGAGAAATGAGGTGCTGCAGAATCACAAGATGTTGTTGGCCATCTGGGATTTGTGAGGTCGTCTCTGGTGAATTCATCTCGATTATCCACACTGCTAACAGGTTATATTAGAATGTGGAAGGCAGCCAGTGTTAACTGCAGGATCCCTATACGAGACAGAGGCGATCTTAATGGTACCCAGGCCCTGGTTCACTTGTAATGATACATCCTTTCCACTTTCATTACAGGCACATCAGTTGAGCAGGCTGTGGTGTTGGAATTCAGCTTCGGTCGAGCAGCGCTGCTGTAAACGATTATTAAAAAGCTTTCAGTGTTATGTGTGCATCCGAATACAGTATATGTTCATAGCTCCCCAAACCAGGTGTTTATCCTGCAGCTCAACGATTTCAGATCTTTGCATTATAGTATGTAGTCCGTAGTCCAGACAGCCAAAGATGTCAGTATGTTTACAATTTGAAGTGTTTTGGATTTTGTTGGGTATTTGTTTTTATTCTGTACGGTTAGACAAAGAATACAGCAGTGCAGGGATTCATCCTCCATTAGCGACAATTACAGATTATCTCTCGTCTTGTTGGGATCGTATTTGTGAGTTTTTGTACGGGATCGTGGCGGAAGATCGTCCTTCAAACATCCAGTTATATTTGATAAAAATGGAAGAAAAACAAGTGATTAAGCCTGATTTAGCTGTTGGGTGATGTAAATTAAAATGTACAAAGTAATTCCCAAATTAATATGAATCAGCATATTTAGAGTAAAATGACACAGGCAGGTGCACAATACTGACATAGTGCTGAGCATTGCTGCCTCACAATTCCTGGGGTGCTGTCTGTGTGGAGTCTGTATGTTCTCCTCCGCCTCGTGTTTGTGTGGGACTCCTCCAGGTGCTCCAGTTTCCCCCCTCCGCAGTCCAAACACATACTGGTTAGTTCATTGGCTTCTGGGAATGTTGGCCCTGGTGTGAGTGTGTGTCTGTGTCTGTGTGAGCCCTGTGGTGGACTGGCCCCATGTCCACTCCTGTCCTGCCTTGCGCCTGTTGCTTGCTGGGATGTGGCCCAGCTCTCCCAGGACCCTTTCTTGGATAAATTCGGTTAGAAGATGGATGGATGACACAGGCAGACATGTCGAAGTCAGCACCATGGGCGACTTCAGAGGACACCGGTGAAAGCTGCAGGGAAGAAGAAGGTCAGGACACTGATGTCTTAGAGATCAGGAACAAGGTGCCCTTTTTCAAGAAAAGGCTGGATGAGACCCTCAGGTCAATTAGCTGCTGAAATGGAATGGGCTGAAGGTGTTTTGTAAAATTTGGACCATAACCTGCGTCTCAGTCAAGCAGTCAGGCAATCTGTTTGATTCTTATATAACATCTTCGCATCATTTAAATCAATATCTAAAGCACCCTCGAGGTGCTTTACACGCATCATGCTTAAACAAGTACAGTAAACAAAATACAATAAAACCCTGCATAAATGTGAAATTAAAATGGAAGATCACGAATTAGATGCATCAGGGGCAGGGCTGCTGGGGAAGGGCAGGTCCTGATCTGGACCGGCCGTGGAGACAGCCCTGCTGGCAGCACTGTGTGCTCACAGGGGCGGGGTGTCGCTCGGCCCATGGTGCCCCACTGCTTGGGCGCGGGCTTGATCGCAGTCGGCTCAGGAGGAAGCCCAGTCTCGAACCCGCACCGCCTGGGCAGCAGGGCTCGGCCCGTTCGACGGGGGAGTGCCTGGGCTGGCTGGGCCTGTCCAGAACTCTGGGGGTTAGATGCCTCCGATGGGCGGCTCTCCATCTCACCCAACTGCCCATATTTCCGCTCGTCCATGGTGTGCTTCCCCGGCAGGATGGCGCTTCTCCAGTCGTCTGGGCAGAGGCTGGTATTCAAGCACACAAAGCCTGAGCCTCCAAAGGCAAAAACAGCCAAGGACTCACATAAATAGGACTGGAAGGAAAACGGACCAGAACCGATAGGAAACCGAGGTGCTGAATATCACAGTTAGATCACAAATCTAGCCAGGTGTGCAGCTGTAAGGTGTAAAACTCATTTTTTGTTCTGTTAATAATTGATATGCTGTAGATCCTGGTAATGAACAGACAATGGCCTGAGTGCTGATTCTGTAGTTTCTGCCCTCTGGAGTTGTGAGGTTATCATCTTTACGCTCAGATTACATGACAAATATCCCTCTTTTCCCATCACTCTGTTGCCTTTTGATCCTGCTCTCAAGGTTTCGTCCTGTTCCTGAACCTCTTCTGCTGGGACGTGAAGGAACTGCCGGTCTGCAGTTCCGCTTGTCTCACGGTCACAGTCACCTGGAAAGAAAGCAGGAGCTCCAGTCAGGCACAGACCCCGACAGCTGCTTTTGTTACAGGAGTGAAAGGAAAATTACAACCCAGAGAATGTTTCCGTTTTTCATTTACAGTCCAGTTATTCGTGTATGGTTTCCCCCCCAGAAAGACAATGTTAGCGTTACCCCAGGACATCCGGGGGAAGAGAGGAATGCCAGGGGGCTTAGTCTGGTGTTCGCACTGTCCGCCCACACCGCTGCCCAACTAAACTGCCTTCTTTCTCAGGCTTGAGGCCTGGCCTCACAAGGGCCTCCCCTGGAAAGCAAAAAGACGATGAAAATAGTGACTCTGGATCCTTGAAAGCTGTCCATTAGAGACTGACAGTAAGACTAACGATTAAGCATTGAGACTGAAGCCGAAAGGCCCGGGTGCTGGAAAACTAAGCCGAGTTTAGTTCTCTGGTAAAGACAGGCAGGCACGTTCTCACCTGCCAGTACAGTGTATCTGGAGAGGAGCCGGATCAGGTGTGTCTTCATGGGAATACTCTTTAAAGACGTGCATGGTGCTTCAGAATATCTTTACAGCAGAAAAGAAAAGGGCATCTTTGAGAAAAAGGGTCCTGTCTTTAGGCAAATGGGGACTTAATCTAACCTTCACAAAACGCTATGTAGGTCTTGCTTGTATCTATTTGTGGGTCTGAGGTGCTCTCAATTGCGGGAGAGATTTCTTGAAGTCTGCAGGGTGTTTTAGAAGAAAAACGGTTTCACAACATCCCTGGGCAAGACTTGATCAACCAGACCGCAGCGCCAAAAGGGCTAAATTTCATTCTCAGGAGATCTGTCGAAAGAAGGATAGTGAGACGGATTAACAAAAGCATTTTGATGGTAGAATATGATGATTTTCTGCTGAATTGCACTCCTGGAAAATTACCATACCGGTGTTGGCACCTAGTTGTTCATTTCGATTATTAGTCTCAATTATAAATATTACTTTGTCTTTTATATATTTTACATTCATTCAAGTTCTGCATCTGTGTGTATCAATTAAAATTGACGGATTCATGAACTGCCGTGTCACCCCAACCATCTTCCTTCCCTGCTTAATTCCTCAGAAATCTTGCATTTAAATCAGAGGAGGCTTCGGGGAGGTGTCTGAAATCCAACACCGAGCTCCCATTTTCAGCCAGCAGCTTCACGCTGGCGGTGGAGCCCTGTTGGGTACAAAGAGCTGTCCGGTGGCCTCAGAATGTTCTTTTTAAAAATAAATCTTTAAACTGTACTGTGAGGTCCCACAGAAGTGAAATTGCAGAAAACAGGGGCCCTCGGGCCAGGTTTGTTGTAAACGAACACAACTGCCAGGGCTCGAGCAGTATCCCAGGAATTAGAGCAGAGCGTAGCTAGAAAAGTATTATTATTAAAATGAGAAATCTGACTTACTTATTAGAAATACTTGAGCACCTTATCTGCACCAGCTGAAAGGACTGTGCATCACTCCAGGGAACAAATAAGCTCGATTATAAGCCAGCACTGGCAGATCCTTTCATACTCCACGGTGCTATTATTAGCCACTTTGTTACACGGGCGTCATGTCCTTTTACAGCACAGTGCCGAACACACAGGGATGAGCGCAGAGCCAGGCGTCTCAGATAGGAGTTTGGCAGCTTGATTCCGCAAGGTGTTTTATTTCAGAGGGGTTGCAGAATAAACGGGTTTGTTTTCCCGAATGCCCTGCGGAGGTTCTGGGGGCGAAAGGACATTTAAAGAAGAACAATTGCCGATAAGAGTTCTGCAGCGGGCTGCAGGGCAGGAGCTCCTGTGAGGGCCAGAGCCCGCCTGGCGTGAGGTGTGCAGGGGCTCGGCTCTGGTGGCAGACCATGTCAGTTGGCGCAGTCGCTCTCGTGGGCTGCGCGGAGCTGAACCGAACAGGCAGGTGAGCTGACCCGCTTTCTCTGCACTGATTGCAGGTCCCGAGCCCGACCTGAGGCCTCCGGTGGGCGTCATGTGCCAGCAGCAGCAGCTGCCCTTCCCAGCTGTCCCATCGCCCCCTGCCCTCAGGCCGCAGGCCGTGCCTCCTGACCCCCTCCGGTTTCCGGTCTGCACTACCTCTCTGTCCGTCAAGCCCCCATCGCTGCAGCCAGCGCAGAGACCCCCTGCCCCCGCCCCCGCCCCGCCCCAGCCCGGGCCCAGACTGCAGCCCCTCGCCCCGCAGGACGAAGAGCCCCAGCCGGGGGCCCACCAGGAGCCCACCCTGGAGGAGCTCTGCAAGCCCCTGTACTGCAAGCTCTGCAACGTCACCCTCAACTCCGCACAGCAGGCGCAGGCCCACTACCAGGTGAGGCAGCCGTGGGGGCAGAGTGGATCTGCACAGATCACACATGTTTTACTCCTTTCTGACCCAGATCATACATGTTTTACTCCTCTTTGACCCTGATCACACGTTTTACTCCTGTCTGACCCAGATCATGCATGTTTTACTCCT